GGTGGGCTCCAACAGGACTCAAACCGCAACCACTGTGTTTGCTTGGTAGTCGGCTGCCAGCAACATAGCTGCCTGAGTACGGCCTCGCCAAGTGCTGAGGGAACTTTTCGGCCTCGCTTCGGCAGAGGGTGTGTTTTCGGCCTCGCTTCGGCAGAGGGAGTGGCCAAGTTTCGGCCTCGCTCCGGCTGAGGATACATAAAGTTCGGCCTCACTACGGTTGAGGGGATCTTCCGGCCTCGCATTGCTGAGGTGCTGGTGGGACTGGCATCAGGCTGCAGCAGTCATGGGGAAGAATTGTACTGTGTGTGCCCACTGCGAGGTGGGTTGGGTCTGGAATGAAGACTTGTACTACAACCCGTACTGCTGGCATTGCGGAAAGGCGTGGAAAAAGGCCACATACCGTGAGCGAGCATGGTCAAGCCAGCGGAAGAAGTGGCAATGGCCAAAGGAAGATGCTACTTGGTGGACAAGACCTGCCAAGAACAAAGAAGGGATGGCCGACCAAGCCCTCACGAAGGCGTGGGGTACGCTTTCTATGGAGGCAAAGAAGGCCATCGAAGAAGCAGGATGGAAGCCGCGGACGATGGAGCCGGGGCCAATTTGGCCCCCGGGATTACCTGGCAATGGATTGCAGGCAGAAAGCATGTCACAGAAGGAGTACCATGCGGCCATTGAGACTGTGTGGCAAGGAGCCGAGCCCGCAGTGCAAAGGCTCCTCAGAGCGGCGGGGATACCCCCGCCGGGGGACTACAAGCCTGAGGACGAGACGCCAAAGCAGGAACTCAGCCGCCATGTTGGTACATACAGACGGACGACAAACAAGCTGAGAACGCTCATTGAGAAGAAGGTCCGGCTTCAAGACAAAACGGAGAAGATAAAGAGCGAGTTCGAGCAGGCCATGAAGCAGCTTGCGCAAGTCAGCCAGGCCATCCAGGCCACGGAGCTGGAGGTAGCGGAAGCACAGAAGAAAGTCCAAGCCTGTGTGAAGGATTCAGAGGACTCGCCATACAAGGACGTCGCGGACTACCTGGAAAAGGAAGGGATCATCCTGTCTGAGGAGCAAGCGGAGGCGCTCAAAACAAGGATGGCAGTCAAAGTCGTGGAGACAGACTGGACGGGAGTCTTGGGACCAAGAGAGCCGAGCATGCCAGTTGAACTTGGCATATATGGGCCGATGCGCATGTCTCGAGATGTGTCAGTCAGGGCAACGCCAACGGGGCGCGAACGCTCGCCGGCGCGTGCCCAGGGCGAGTGAAACCTCAGGCTGGGACAGGAGCGGAGGGGCCGACACCTCAGGGCAGCTCCTGGTCCGAACAGCCAAAATATGAAAGCAGGACAAGTAGAGGAGTCTCAATGGGGAGACTCTGATTTCTCTTTTGACGGTGGCCGAAAGCAGTGTCACGGGGACATTGTATGGCCACAGGTACATGGGGAAGGCAGTCAAGCTGTGTGTAGCACCCAAGTGCCTAATACAAACAGCACAGTGGAAGACAGCCAAGAGAGCTGGAGTCCAGTAACGCGGGGTCCAAAGTCAGCCCGTGCTGTGGATAGCAGTTGGGCGGTCACAGGTCCCAGATACTTCGGTCTGGGAGGTGCGGACCATGAGGATGAATGTGTGAATTCGGCCTCGCAAAAAGCAGAGGGCAGCCAAACACAGATGGGAGACCCAACTGCGGTAAGAGGGGATAGCCTAAAGGCCTCGCAGAAAGCTGAGGAAGCAAGGTTGTCGGCCTCGCAAAGTGCTGAGGGTCACCAAAGGAAGCAAAAGCCCAAGAAACGGAAAGCGCACCCAAGAGCACCACCTAAGGATCTACCACAGGAGTGGCAAATGTTGTGTCAAGTGGTGGGTAGATATGATGCTTCCAGTGAGGCTGCCGCACTCGAAGCCATTGAGAAACTGGAAGAGCAGGAACTCAACCCGCTACAACAACGAGCATGCCACGAAGTGCTTCGTTCCTTTGTGGAGCAGGACGCACAATATGCCAAGTGGATCTTGGCAGATGTGGCAAGTGGGTATCGCCAAGATGATAAGGCCGAATGCATCAAAATCACCTCGGCTAACATCACCAGCTGGAGGAAACCCATAGCGGCATGGATACACGAACTAGGACCGGACCTGGTGGTGCTGCAGGAAACCCATCTCAAGACAGAGGGTATCCAGCAAGCCATGAGCCATTGCCAAGATATGGGATACACCTTCATTGGCATGCCAGGCAGTACAAAAACTAAGGGTGTACAAGGAGGCCTGGCAGTGGTGGCACCCCGACATAGGAACCTGCGATACCTTATTGAGTATGGGACAGGACCGGCGGGCTTCCTGGCATGTGCCATGAGAAATAAAGGCTGGGATTTGATCATCGTCAGTCTGTATTTGGAGAGCGGGGTCGGATTCCAGGCTCCAAACAATATCCAAGTACTGGCGAGACTGATAGCCTTTCTCAAGGGCTGCAAAGTGCCGTATATGGTGCTGGGTGATTGGAATGAAGCCCAGGATACCATGAGGGGCACAACTCTGGCGACAGAAGTTGGTGGTGCATTTGTTGGAGTGGGGGAACCAACGGCCCAAGGATCGGACGAAATCGATTACGGGCTGGTTGCGAAATGCTTGGTGCCCATCCTGCAAGTGAAAACGGATTGGGAAACCCCTTTTCGGCCTCATGCTGCAATGCATTGGAGGGTAGCCCAACCGTGCAGTAGCCCTGATGTTCCCCAGATGAAGAAGGCGGGAGCACTGGTGACGGAGACTGTGGAATATGAACCAGTACAAAACACACAGAGCATCAACATTTTGGATGAACCCAAGATGGA